ATGGCACCACCTCAAATGCCTTTACCAAGCAAACGACAGCGTGACACAAAGCAGACTCATGCAACAGCTGACAACAATACAGATGAAGACCGGGGAAAAGGCGATGCAGTATATGAGTCGCTGCCAGACCCTCCGCGACCGCCTGCTTCGGTGCGGAGGAACGATCACTGAAGAAAGCTTCGTGACACTTGTCCTCGCCGGGCTCGGGCCAGAATGGAGAACCACACGATCACTTCTTCGAGCCCACGGAAGAATTTCGGAGATGCACCTCTGCGCCGAGCTTCACGCTGAACAACAGGAGATGGATCTGTTCGAGGAAAGACAACCAAGGAAGCAACAGCAGTTAGTCTTCTACACTCAAAGAAGAAATGACAACAACTACAACCGACGCAGCAAGCAAGATCAACGCGACAACCGAGGACTCACCATCGTGCCGCCGTTCTGCCACAACTGTCAGACTTCCGGGCACTCCAAGGTCAACTGCAACCGCCCTCGCGTTTACCGTGCAGCAGACCCACAAGTCGCTTCCACTCAAGCAAGTCCTCCAAGGCGCTCTTCAACATCTGCACAACAAACACCCAACATCATCAACTGCATGGTACACATCGACAACTGCGCACCCGCTTCACCACCCACTTACGCACCAGACGAAGAGGAATTCCCGCCGCCGCGCTCGCAAGGACTTCAGGTCAACCCGACATACGCTGCAGTCGCTAACGCCGAACCCACCGGGCGGAACACCTGGTTCTTGGACAGTTGCTGCGGTCAGCACATGTGCTCCTCCGGACGCTTCGTACAACACGAGCGACGCCTCAACCGTGACGTCGTCATCACCGTCGCCAACAACGAAAACCTGAAAACAAATAGACAAGGCGTGGTTCAGTTACAATCAATGGAGACAAACGTTATTCTTCAGCTCAACAAGGTCCTCATCGTCGACAATCTGGGATACAACCTATTAAGCGTAAGCCAACTAATGGCTAAGGGGATTCACCTGGAGTGCGACTCCTTCTCCAACGAGTTCCGACTTTACCACGGGAAGGGCGGTCTCTTCATCGGTCGTGCCCTCCTGAAGTCCGGTGTCTTCGTGTTGGACTTCGTCCCCGACCGCGGAACTGCCGACAGCGACGGTATCGTATCCTTCGCCGCCTGGACTCATCCGCCAGATCTTGATCCCGACTTCGACAGCGACGGCTTCTGGCACTCCAACACCATACCTGCAGCAGAAAGAACACGAGCATTAGCAGTTATCAGACAAGAAAGACAAGTACCCGCATGTGTCCCAACAAAACCATCACCTGCAGTATCGGCAGCAGGACCCAGCCGAGTACCACCACCAGCGACACGAGGACAGCCAACCGAAGCAGACCAACTTATGCCCGCCACACGAGAAGCTTGTCGAAGTCCCGCCTCGGTCGTCGCGTTCTTCTCCAACGCCGACATCTACCACCGCTCGCCCGGTCACCGCGCTCCCGACGACATCTGGCACCAACGTCTCGGACATCCTGCAAACAGCACGATACTTCAAACAATCCAAGCAGAAGTGTTAGAACGCAACGCCCTTCTGACGACGAGCGGCCAGGAACTCCGACGACCACGCGCACGGTGTTTCACATGCCCCGAAGCAGATCTTCCTCATCAACCTTTCCCAGCCCATCACAATCCAAGCGCACCCACTTACGCTCCGATGGAAAAGGTCTACAGCGATATTCTAAACATGCCTCGAGACGACACCGAAGCCGACTTCAACTACGTCATCACGTTCATCGACGCCGCAACCAGATACGTCTGGCACTTCAATCTCAAAACGCGCGATCAAGCCTTCGAGGCATTCACCACATGGCTTCCAATCGCCGAACGAGAGTCAGGAACCAAACTCAAGAGTTTCCAGTCAGACGGTGCACTGGAATACCAGTCACAACGCTTCAGGACCTATCTCGCGGAAAGGGGAATCCGACGCCTGGTGTCTCTGCCCTATGCTCACCAGCAGCAGGGGGTAGCAGAACGCATGAACCGGACCTTGCAGACGACGATGCGAAAACTGCTTCTGGGGATGAGGCTGCCCAACGCACTGTGGCCAGACGCGATGACACATGCAGTCCACCTGCACAACCTGTTGTCCTCGTCATCGCTCCCCAACAACGCATCACCACACCTGCTGTGGACGGGAAAAAGGGGCAGCACAAAATTACTTCGAGTTTTCGGCTGCATGGTACAATACAGACCCCACACAGCTCGAGCAGGACGCTTCACTCAACGAGCTCGGTGGGGACTACACCTCGGCATCGCCAAACATTTTCACGCGTGGAAGATCCTCGACATACAAGACAAAAATACGGTGGCATCACGTGATGTTATCTTCTACGAGCGACTGACGCTGCAGCATTACCTGGACAACATTGCCAACTCAGACGACCCCACCGACGGCTTCGCGGGCCTTCGCTCCTTCGCTGACCATGCTGCCGAGGCTGACGCAGCAGAAGAAGACGTACCTGGAGCCTCGGAAGCTGCCGGGCCACTCCCATTCTGTTCCATACCTGTTCCACTCGATGAAGATAATCCCCTCGATAGCAACAACCTCGACACCTTTTACCACTTCGCCGACCAAGGTTACGCTACACCGCACCCCGTCGACACGAATATTTCGGAACGCATCGGCCCCAATTTCTTACCTGACCCCGAAGACGGTGACGAAGCAGCTTATTCCGGGAATGACAATTCCCCTCGACACACACCCACGGGACTCCAGATTCTAGGCCTCTGGGTCTCCGTCCAGCATCCGCCGCCGCCTTCTACGCGTGAGCCTTCAACCTTGTCGCAGGCTCTGGGGGGGGAACATAAGGCAAAATGGAAAGAAGCGATGGAAAAGGAGTTAAAAGCTCTGCAAGACCGAGAAACATGGAAACTGGTACCTGCAACGAGCATCAACGGGAAGAACGTTCTCTCGGGGAAATGGGTGTACCGCATCAAGACCAACTCAGACGGCTCCATCGAACGATTCAAAGCTCGATGGGTCGTACGAGGCTTCGATCAACGATACGGAACCGACTACACAGAAACCTTCGCCCCAGTCTCCCGTCACACCTCATTACGCATCCTACTCGCCGTCGCGGCCACAAAAACACTACCACTACGCCAAATCGATGTCGCGAATGCGTTCCTATACGCACCTGTGGACGCTGAGATCTTCGTCGAACAACCCCACGGATTCATCGACGACCCCACGAAAATATGCCGACTGACAAAATCCCTATACGGGATCAAGCAAGCCCCGCGGCTCTGGCAGCAGCATCTTCACAGCCGTCTCGTAAAAATCGGCTTCCTACAGCTGCCGCATGACCAAGGGATGTACCGACTGCAGAAGGGAAGAGAGTATGTTCTGCTCATCGTCTACGTCGACGACCTGCTCTACATCGGCTCAACTACCGACATCGCCACCTGGTTCGAAGGGGAGCTGAAAGAAGATTTAACTCTCACGGTGTCCGACGAAGTTACGCAGTACCTAGGACTGAACGTCGTCGAAGACGACACGGCGTTCTACCTACACGCTGGAAAGTACTCAAGCACCGTCGCGAAGAAATTCGCTCTAACACCGACTGCGGTCCCAACTCCCTACCGCTACGGGAACAACGGCAGCGCCTCTACAAAACTCCCCGCGAAACAAATCCAGGAGTATCAACAGAAGCTCGGCTGCCTACTATTCGCAGCAGTAACCTGCCGACCCGACCTATCCTATAGTGCGAGTCAGCTGGCGACACATCTGAAGCATCCGCAACAGGAAGATCTCGAAGAACTCAATCGAGCGCTACTCTACTTCGTCTCCACGCCGACGATCGGGCTTACCTACAGCAAGGCAACAACACCGTCCGTACGACTACTCGGATACGTCGACGCCGACCACGCGGGAGACAGCGAAAATCGACGGTCTAGGACGGGCTACATCTACCGACTAGAACCTATCGGAACTATCTCCTGGCAGTCGAGCAAGCAGGAGTTAATCGCACTATCCTCGGCTGAAGCAGAGTATATCGCCCTTTGTACTGCGACCAAGGAAGGACTCTACCTACGAGAGTTACTCGAAGAAGCGAAGATCGCGACCCTGCCCGCCTTCTCACTCCTCTGCGACAACCAATCTGCGATCAAAATCGCGAACAAGGACGGCTTCGCCAATCGAACCAAGCACATCGCCCTGCGGTACTTCTTCGTCAAGGATGAAATCGCGAAGGGGAGACTTCAACTCAGTTACTGCCCGACGACAGAAATGGCCGCAGATTATCTGACGAAGAAATTGGCGAAAGCAAAATTCGACTACTGCATGCTCCTAACCGGGCAAACAAACGCCACCGGATCTGAACACTCCAGCACTCCAGAAACGAAGGGGAGTGTTGGAAATATCTCAAGGACTTAAGCGTTTCTGAAGTGTAACACTGTACTCGAGGAAGATTACAGGGGAGCACGCGAGTCAACGGAGGTTACACGAGGGGGCGGACAAAGAATGCGAAAGGACTCGAAAGGTCGCAACTGGAGGTTGCGACTGACCGTTACAACATCACGGATGGTAACCGAAGCGGCAAATCGAGTCGCTGTGCGACTCGATAAACCGTTCCTGTAACTGTATTCTACAACTGCTTTCTTATCTTCTATATATTGCTGTATGCTTGTTTCTTTAATCAATCACTTGTTCTCACATACTAGTACAAGGGTTCAACTGTCTCAATTTCCGCTGCACTACTCCAAGTCTCAAGTCTCTACAAGCTGGGACTTAGTCTCTGCAAAAGATCCTAAGGGCTTTTCTCAGCCCAACAACATATATCATTTAACAGTTATATCCGGGGGATTACGGTACCCTTCATTCTATTCGATTCTGCTACTCTGAGACATGGTGCTTTTGATCGAGGGTTTTGGGGAGTGTGAGGTGATAATGGCAAAAAAAATACTGATAACATTCTCCTGGGCTTTCCGTTTAAGTTTCGAACCCTTTCGTGTTAACATACATACTGATACAACAGCAACCCGCCATAAGACATCCCATTGTCTCCAATTTGTGGAGAGAGTATTGGCAGAATAACCTGTTGGCGAACGCCCTGTGTTACAAGTGGCTCCATCACCATCACCATCACCAACCGTCCTGGGGCAGCCCAAGCACGCTCCAGCATCAGATGGAGGCATGATCCCCCATGCCAATCCATGCTCTACTGGATTGATTCACATGCTGACCGGAAGTCGTCCAGGCACTTGGCGAGAGACTCCATTCTGTGCGTGGCTGCCTCCTGCTCGGCCTGCATCTTGCTGACAGCGGCAGGTGCAGTGAACATGGCCATGACCTCCGCATCACACCGCGCAAACAGTGCCTCCAGCAGCCATGCCGCCACACCCTCGCGGCTGCTCAGTGCAAGGGAATGCAATGGACGGCCAAGGCAGACACCAGCGGAATGCTTGTGGAACATGGAGTACAAGGAGAAGTACAGAGAAAAGGAAGCAATCATGCCACAGAAAGGCGAGCAAGGCCACATGGCAGGTAGACTGGAGAGAGAGAGTAGTGGAGAGAGGACATGGGCGAGAGAGAAGGGAGAAAGGGAGAAGTTGAGGGTTAGGATGGGAGGGAGGGAGGGAGGAGTGGTGGTGTGTGGCGATGACGTGACGGGGAGAATGGGGTGTGCATGTGAGGTGGGCTAGATGTGAAGAGTCTTACAAGGGTGTCTGAAAGGCTGAGAGGATGGCAAAGGGTGCATGCGATGCGAGGGTCATTTTCATGCCTTGGAATTCCATCTCCACCATCTCCTTCACTCGGCTGTACCCAGACTTGCTCATTCCTCCACCTTCAACTCCCTTCCCTTCTCTGCTCTTCGCAATCTCCTTCCCGCCATCCCTGTGCCCCCCCCCCTCCTGTCTCTTCTTCGATGCAGCCCCAGCGTGTGGATCATTGAGCACGCCACCGACAGTGCGCTTGCTACCCCTGCCACCACCCACATCGTAGTCGCTCTTCATTGTCGGCTCTTCTCCTCGCGCGCCCCTCTCCCCTGGTCCCTCGCCACACCCCCCTGCTCCAACCGCTTCCCCTTCCCTTCCTGCAGATCTGTTGCCTGTCCCTTCCATGCCATTCCCCTTGCCTGCTTCCCTTCCACTGCCACCTGACTGCCTTGCCCCATGCCCTGTCAACCCCGCTCCAGACCCAGCGAGCCCGCTACCCGCCAAGAGCAGCCGGCCGCTGATCTCTGCATACTCCTTCCACTTGGCCGCTGTTGCTTCCTCCCTGGCATGCAGGTCAGGCGAGGGTGTCTCTGGCACCGTCATGTGGCACTCCCGCAGCGCCTGAGCCTCTGCACCCCCTCCCGCACCACCAGCACCTGCAGCGCACGCGGCAGCAGCACCGCCTTTGACTGGCGTTGAGTACGTCTCAGCCCTCGCACTCGCCGTGTTGTGAGCAGCAGCAGCAGGAGCAGCGGGATACAGGGGAATCCGTCCATGGCGAGGCACCGCCCCCCTCTCTGCCCTCCCGGCGTTCTCATCTGCACCGGCTGCTGCTGCCCTTGCACATATGCCCTCCTTCCCTGCCCGCGTGGTGGCAGAGGGCAGGGGCGTGTGGCTCTGGAGGTCCAGGGGCAGGCGCAGGCCCAGCGGGGCAGGCGGCAGCACGGATGCTCCCTGCACACAAGAGAGAGGGAGCAGGTGGGATACGTGGGTGCAAGAGAACGGACATTGGCACATGGGAATATTACTTGGGCAATGCTCTGTACGGGTTGGCCAGGAGAATGAGACGCAAATGCTTGGCATGTATATGTTGCTGTGGTTGCATCTGAGTTGGAAATTCTCATTCGTACATGCAGGGCAAATGTTGCAACAGAAAGATGCAAGTAACAATGAAAGATAACAACCCCCGTACACCCTTCGTCAAATGACCAGCTCACATCACATGTGCCCACTCCCCCTCTCCCATATGTTCTCGTGTGTGTGCATACACCCACGCATGTACGTAGGCACTCACACTTCATGTCAAAATGCATTCGACACTCTTGACCTACCCGCACTTGAAGCACGCCCTCTCACCACACTCACGTGCGCCTGAGGCACCACAGAAGCAGCAGCAGCGGGCCCCAGCAGGTGGCAGGCAGCGGAGCGCACGTGGTGCTGAGCCAGCTGGCGGCAGCGTGAGGAGAGGGAGGCGAGGAAGGCGTCATAGGCAGAGCGCAGGGCGGAGTGAAAGCCCAGGAACGGCTCCAGCGCCACGCATGGCGGCAGCGCTGCTGATGCCGACCATGATCCTGATGCTGCCGAGTGCGCCTGGCGCTGGGCAGCGGGTGGCTGGAAGAAGTCCGTGTGCTGACTTGGCTTGGCCTCGCACTCTGACGCCTCGCAGTCAGGATGGGGGGGAGGGGGAGGGTAGGATGATGATGATGATGATGATGATGATGCGTGCACAATATAAGGAACCTGACGCAAATAGGTGCAAAGGCGAGAACAATGAGAAACAAGTCGCACGCATATGGGCCTTGCAAACGAGTTGTATGCCCCACAATCTATCCCAGGAGTCTACCCACATTCACAACCATTCCCTACCCACCCCCTCCCACCCTCCCCATCCCACTGCCCCCCATTGTCTCGCCCCATGGCAGGGGAGCGGGCAGCCCCGTCGCACCGGACTTGACGCGCTGCAGGGCGACGTCGAGGAGGCGGCGCAGCAGGAAGGCGATGCGCACACACAGGGCGTCCATCAGCGGCGCAAAGCGCGCCAGCACTGCTGCACGCGCCACCTCTGTTGCCGTCGCTGCCACCGCTGCTGACGACACACCACCCGCCCCATTGCACCCAAACGTGGACTGCTTCGCCAGGAGGGCATTCGCGACCTGGGGACAGCAAGGCGGAAACGGTGGAAGAGATGCAGAAAAGGAGCCGGGATCGCGAGCAGGGGAGGCGAGAGCACATACAGGTGAGGGGCAAGCATGAACAGGTGGATCTCAACGAGGGGGATTGGAGAGCACATACATGCAACAAAGTGGCGGCGGAAGGACACTATTGAGGGCATGCACACACCTTGTCGCGTGAGGTGTTGGGGCAGGAGACGGCCCACGCAGCGATGCTAAACTCGTGCACCACTCTCATCAGCGCCGCCCCGCCATACAGCCGCAGCCCCTCGTTCACCACCCCGCCCATGCTGCCCCCCCTCCCATCGCCATCCTCCTCGCCCTCCTCCTCGTCCTCCCCATCCCGCCCCTTGCAGTGCCTGAGGGCGCGTGCCGCCTGCTGGAAGGCGTGTGGTGGCACGCCCGGCCAGTGGCCCACAGCGCTGGCCGCCTGCTCCTCGTGCGTGGTCAGGCCCCACTGGGACGGGTCGGGCTCCACTGCCCCGTCCAACATACACAGCTGAAGCACGTGGGGAGGATGGGTGGTGGAGGGAGGCGGCAAGGGAGTGAGGGACAGTGAGAGAGCAGAGAGTAAAGGCGCTGTGCTGGAGCTGCATGCGTGCTCCTCGATCTCCTTGCTTCCAATTGCTGCACAAGCACATCTCTTCTTAGTATGGCGCCATCTGTCCATGCGGCTTGAAACACAGGTGTGCAGATCTATCTATCCACCTATCCATCGCAACCATACACCTTGCCCCCTCCCCCCCACCCCTCACCATGGCGCTAGTGGTGGCCACCACGTGCCGCATTGCCAGCCTCCTCATAGCCGCCACGTCACTCGCTGCACACAGCCGCTGCTCCACACACGCCACCTGCTCTGCCACATCAGCACATCTCCGCTCCAGCTGTGCGAGCACTGCAGGCGCCGCTGCGCTGTACCTGGTGAATAAAGCAGGGAGGGCAGGTGGGGAAGGTGAGGGGAGACAGGGAGGTCAAGGGCAGGGTGAGCGGAGAGAAGTACAGGGAACAGCTCAAGGATGTCGTGACGATACTAAAGGATGCATGAGCCCATGGGTTGAAGTTGGAAGCACAATGGAGCGCCAGTGCACATTGGCCTCTACGGTTGACATGCATATGCTGCTGCGTGCTGCATGCTGCGAGCACGTGAGCGCACCTGCGCTGCAGCTCGTCCTCCAGGAACGCCTTGAGCTTGCCGAACCCTATCTGCCCGCCGTACTGCCGCTCGTCGAACCCCCCCGCCACCTCGCTGCGCAGGAAGTGCAGCACCGCCGCATCCACCTCCGCTATCTGCCGCCGCAGCCGTGCACTCTCCTGCACACTCTCGCTCCCACCACTCTCACCCTCCGTGCTACCAGCGCCGCCAGCACCCCCTGCGCTCTTGTCCTTGTCCCTCATGTCCTTGGGCAGCGCAATGAAGAAGGGCCCTCGCAGGGGCGCCAGAGGAGCACCGCCTGTGCTGCCAGGGCTAACCAAGCCCTGGGCTGGCGGGGCTGGCGTGGGAGATGAGAATGGCGACGCAGCAGCAGCCGCAGTGGCAGAGGCAGGGATCGGCGAGCGGGCGGAGTGGAAGTAGCCCCCTGTGCTGAGGTAGCGATCCACCTCCCACCTCTCCGAGAACTCCTGCACACATGCAAGGCGGTGATGGGCGGCGGTCAGGCCACATACGAGGGAGCCATCCTTCACTGGGGATGCTCAAGCGGACAGCAGAGATGCGCGGGAGGAATGCAGAGTCCTTGTGGGATGAGGGATGGCGTGAGACACGGGTGACAGGGGTGCTTCGCGCCCCACAGCCCCCCTCACCTTGAGACGGTTGTCGAACTTGGAGGCCACGATGACCGTGCGGCGCAGCTGGGGGTCTGCCCGCCGCACGACGTCGAGCCAGAGTGAGGAGCACCACTCGACGCTGCTCTGCTGCAGGAACACTATGAGGCGGTGTGGCGGCGCCATCAGCTCCACCACCATCGCCTCTATGTCCGCTGGCGTGCTCTCCGGCTCGCCTCGCCGCGCCTGGGACAGGGGAGACATGGGAGGGGGGGTGCACCCGCCTTGAGCACGTTGAGCCATCTGCTGCGCGCTCTGCAAGAACACAATATCCATCATCTCCACCCGCACGCGCTTTCAGATCGGCAGCCTCTCGATCCTTTCCCCACCAGTCAGCAAGCACATCATCCCTGCAATCGCCATCCGCCCTCCAGGCGCAGGTCGCACGTCACCAAGCGTCCGCGCGCACCTTGAGGATGAACCCGGGCGTGTCGATGAGCGTGAGCGACGCGCAGAAGGCGTACTCCACACGCATCACCATGGCCTTCGAGCTCACTATGGGCCCGCCAGGGCCTCTGCCCCGCGCTCCCCCGCCACCGCTCGCATCTACAGAGCCCGCAGCAGGCGCTCCGCTGCTGGCCTTGCGTAGCGCGTTGAGATGGTCGTGCGTGCGCTGCTTGAGCGCTGCCGCCACTGCGGAGAGCGGGTGCAGCACGGGGCCGTACGCGTCCGAGTGCTCGTCCTGGCAGGCAACACGACGGGGGTGGCACGAGGCAGGCACGCATGCAACGTTCAAGAGAGGCGCGCGTTGTGGGGACCCAGAAGGAAAGAGGGGGGAATGCAAGTGAGGCGAGTATGGAGCGGGGGAGGAGGGAGAAGTGGGAGTGGAGTGCTAGGCGGAATTGGGGCCCGCGAGGGACAGGGGGACTGCAAGGGGCGCACCTGCAGGCGGCAGAGCGGCTGGAGGGCGTCCGGGCGATGCATCATCTGCAGGATGAGAGGGCGGCGAGTGCCCATCTCCACCTCGCGGATGTTGAAGCGGAAGCCTGCGCAACCACATGCGCGTACGGAGAAGGTGAGCGGGCTCGATGATAGTACGAACGACTGCAACTTATCTGTCGACACTAACATGCATCTGTACGAGATTGGCTTGTGGCTCCGCCCATCCGCATCTCCCGTCGTGTTGCTTCCTCTTTCCAGCACGACTATCATACGTTACCATCTGTCACCATCTGTCACCATCTGTCACCATCTGTCACCATCTGTCACCATCTGTCACCATCTGTCACCTATCCTATCCAGCTCACCCAGCAAGGCTTCGAGCAGCGAGCTCTTGCCGTCCGACTGCCCCCCCACCACCACGATCTCGGGCAGCGGCAGCTGCTCGCCGAACGCCACCGCGCACGACTGCAGACGACTGCCCACAACAGGAATACGAAACGAACGATGACATTCAGAGTCGTCGAATTCTCATGGTGAGACATCTCAGTCGCCATAAAATCAGTCCAGATACGAAGTTCATGAATGCACTTATCGAAGGTTGATCAAAACCCGAACGGCTCTTAACGGATCAGCGACATGGCAGATCGTAAGAAGGTTACGTCAAGCCAACGTGCGAGGCAATATGGATGCATTATGCGTAGCATAGACACAACGTGACTTGCTGCTAGCGCGATGCGTGAAGAACTACGCGACTCTCCATCCCAAGGCGATCCATCGCGGTCAGACGGAATACCTGTACGCCTCGAATCGTGCTCTGCGCTGAGGGTCGTTGTACATGGCCGCTTCCATGCGTCCAGCGGAGTCATCAGCAAGCGACGAGGACGGACGCTGGAGCTGAGAGGTCATGGCTGATGTGACTAATGGTGCCGGCGATCCAACGGTCAATTGGTGGCCGCGCCGATCGATAGAGCTGACAGCGACCGATTCAGCGACGAACTCGGTAGTCGTGAGCGAGCGACAAAGCAGGCCCAGTTTGCATTTTAAATAACCCACTATGATGGTAAAGTGAGCTTGAATATAGCAAACGACTGTGAGAGATTCGATCGCTGAGCCTGGGGTAAACCGAAGGAAACAAATCTCAAGGATGGATTATCTGGGCTTCTCGCATCAAGCTCTGGGAGTTGGAGATGCAGCAGAGTGGATCGAGAGATGCGAGGGAGGAGGGTGGGGGAAGAAGGTGTCTGCGTGACGCTTTGAAACAAACGCATCCTCCGCCGTCCGATCACTGGCCTGACAAACCCAAGGCTTGCGACATCCAGTTCAAGTTTCTGACATGAGCCAGGATTCCCGCCAAGGCTGGGGGGGATAGGCAGCCTATCATGATTCGCTCTAACCCTTGAACCAATCCCGAGTGTACAGAGCGCACTGTCTCTAGTGTTATGCTTATGCATGAATAATCAAGTAGGTGAAGAAATTGTAAATCATCAACTAAGTGACATAATCAGCACCAAGGGCCATAAGTAGGGGAAGAACCAGATATGACAACCTCAGGGATGGGTTGGATAGGTGCGATCCAAGGGCGCTTCCTGCCTGCCTTCTGAATATGCCAGCAGCGCTTTGCCACTCTCCTCTCCAACAAATTCTCCAGCTCCCTCTCCTCTCTACACTCCTCCCCCTGCACCTCCTCACTCCTCTCTCTATCAACATCTCCAGCAATCAGCTCTCTGAGATGCCCCCCTCTTCCCTCTTGTGCTTCACCGTACGGCACTCGTCCCAGCCGTGTGCAACCGCATTAGCTTTCCAGGGCAGAAAACGATGGGATCCAGGGCACGCCGCGGCACAGGAGGCTCAAACCTAAACTAAAAAAGCCATCCACCAAGTTAAATTTGACCCATCCCAAAAGTCACGCCTTCTAAAGGGCATCTGTTTTTCTCTGCCCCGGCTTGAGTCAGTCAGCAATGGCGACGACGGCCGGCAGTCGTCGTCGTCACAGACCGTCCGTTCGGTTGAGGCACAGAGCCCACTACACATCCTGGAAATCCTTTGAGAACTCTCGATATTTCTCCTCCTCGCTTGCCCTTGCCCTCCCCTGCCCCGCACCCCACCCCCTTGACCCCTGCTCGCCGCCTCTCTTTATCCATCTCCCGAAGATCCCCCCCCTGCCATCACTTCCATTCCCCCCCATGGCCTGCCCACTCCCTTGCCCGCCCCCTTGCGCGCTGCCATGCCTCTTCTCTTGCTCACTGCCCACCCCCCTACCGTCCACCCCACTGCCATCCAGCACGCTGCTCTCGTCCTCCCATATCTGTGTCGACGGCCCGCCCATTCCAAAACGGAACACCGACCACGGCCCTCCCCACCCACTTGCCTCTGAACCGGACCCCTGCTCACCCTCCCCCGAGCCTGGGAATCCAGTTGGAGGGGTCATGCCGAACCTGCTGAAGACCTCCGAGGCTAGCTGCTCTGCTGAGCGAATCACGTCCGGGAGAGAGGGGAGGTCCGCGGGCAAGGAAGGGGAGGAAGGGCCATTGGGGTGCGCGGATGGCGGGACGGAGGGGAAGGAGGACCACGGGGAAGGCGGAGAAGAGTGCGGGGAGGACGAATGGGGGTCGGATGGGGGGAGAGAGGGCGGAGGGCGCGAGGAGAACGGGGAAGGAAGGGAGAAGGGGAAGTGAGAGAAGGGGGATGGGAGGGAGGGGGCGTCGGGAGAAGGGTGTGTGGATGTGGCTCCACCGCCGTAGGAGAAGGACGACGAAGACGAGGAGGAGGAGAAGGTGGAGGCGGAGAGCTCGGAGCCAGGCGGGAGGTCCTCCCTGGTGACCTCGGAATGGGACTCCACCACCTCAGACGGGCTGCAGGGCGCCACGCATGCACACAGGGGGAGAGAGAGCGAGATGGAGAGGCGGAAGAAGTAAGCAGTTGATGGGGCATGCGGAAGCCGAGGACTGGAGAGACAGGAAAAGACAGCAGCGCTGCCTGCTCGGCAGTTGCTGCGATCCATTGATCAGCGTGTTCGACAGGCGTATGAGTGTCCCATGTGCTCCTGCGCCCACAGAAGTGGCGAGCACACGGCGCGCGTTGACGACCAGACGCCTAAAGCCTGCGGCGAGATCATAGGGCAGCTCGAGCAGGCACCGCTGCTGTGAGCGCTCAAGGCAGCAGGGAGGGAGCGAACACGCAACGACGCAGAACGGGAATATCCAGTCTTCCTTCTCGCGTTTCACTGAGACCGTCGCGCCGTCGCGCGAAATCACCGCGCGACGGCGGTACAGCGCGCTAGGAACGGCGCCGCACCCACACTGGCGCGGCCAGTTTCTCGTCTCCCCCCGGCGGCACTCACCGCCCCGCGCACTGGCGCAACACCTCGTGCGTGCGCTCGCACTCCTTCACCGGCCGCCCCTTCTCGTCGCGCACCACGCGGCACTGCCGCCGCTCCACGCGCGAGTACCAGCACGAAACATCCGAGTCACCGCCGCCGGTCGTGCTCTCCCCGCCGTCGCCCGCGCTACCACCCATCGCCGCGGCACACGAGGATGCGCTCCCGCCGCAACGGCTGATGACTCCACGCGCACGGCTCGGAACGGGATTCGATAACACTCACCGCGGTAACTGGTTGCTGCGGGGAGGAATCGAAATGGTCTGTGCGCGGGATGTGATGTGAGGGGGAGGTGCGGGAAGACACGGTGGCATGTGCGGGGAGTGATGCGGGTGTTGTTCTGCTGTGCAAGCTCTTGGCGCGTTGGTTGTACAAGATGGCCAGGTGCGTGTGCTGCACGCAAGAGAGAGTTGGACCAGCGAACCCTCGCGAGTGGAGTTACCATTTCCAACGAAAAAGCAACACAGATGCAGCAAAGCCGAAGGCTACATTGAAATCAGCCATCATACAAATTACCGTATAGCGTTGTTCTTGATACAGGGGCTGCTGCTGCCGAACCTTGCTCCCTAGGCTGGCATGATTGACTCCGCTCACTAGCATCCCGCAACCGCCACCGCAGCCACAGCCACGAATCACCATCCCCCCGTACACGCGCTCGTCGCCCTCCGCCCCGCGCCCCTCACACCCGCCACACCCGCCACACCCGCCACGCCCCGCGCATCACCTCCTTCCACCCCGCCGCCCCGCCATGGCCGACATGCCGCTGATGGGCTCCGCCGTCAAGTCCGCCGGCCGCCGGCACGCCACCCGCGCCTCGTCCTCGTCCGCGCTCCCCCGCCCTCCCGCCATCGACCCCACCTCGCCAGAGCACCCTGCCGCGCCCCCGTCCTCCTCGTCGTCCTCGTCGTGCTCGTCGTGTTCGTTCCTGGGCATCACTCTAGCCGTCAGGGCCTCGTCTCTACCCACCACGCCCGCCACTGGCAGCAGCGCGCACGGCGCAGCGCAGGGGTGGACGGTGTGCGGGTGGCGCGTCACGCGGCGCCTGGTGGCGACGCTGGCGCTCTTGTCGCTGGCGTCGAAGCTCTGCGGCTTCTTGCTTCTCACGTACCTCGTCGCCTGGACCCGATCCTCCCACACCGCCGCCGCTGGACTTGCTTCGGGCACGGCAGGCTCGGTAGTAGCCGCAGGGTCGGAAGGTGGCTCGGGTGCAGGTGCGGGCGAGGTAGCGCGGCTAGCTTCGGAATTCTCCGTGCCGTCGGCAGCGTCCCTAGAATCGCGCGAGCAGCTGCCTCTTGACGCGTATGGCGTGTGCTCACCTCCCTGGCGGGACCGGGTGAGGCGGCACTTCGGCAGAGGGGGAAGGGGGGCGGGCGAGGGGCTGGACGAGGGAAAGAGGAATGGTGCCAAGGGTGGGGGTGGCGAGAGAGGAGGAGGGGAGCGGTGGGGGGAACCGGGTGGGGCGCATGGGAGGAGATTAGGGGCGGAGGGGAGGGGGGAGGAGGCGGATGAGGAGGGGAGGGGAGTGGAGGCAATGGTGGGGCGGCTGTGCGACGAGGGCCTGCCCATGGCTGCTGCACTGTTCGGCGTCAACCACTCCGCAGACGCGTCAGTGCAGCTGGTGAGCCAGCAGTCACGGGTGGATGGTGGGAGGAGCACGGTGGAGGGAGCTCACTAGCCTCAAGCTGCTTGCTTTCCTTGAGCCCCTTACTGCCCTCCTTCTCCCCACACCTCTCTCAGTGGCCTCCACTCACTGCTCCCTCTCCCGCGCCAATGTCTCCCCCACCACCCTGTCCATATCTCCACCCCCTCCGCCGCTGCCCCCTCTCCTTCCCCCACTCGAGTCTCCCTGCACTGCCCTTATTCTTGTATTTCTCCCCCTCCCTTTTCTCCTGCAACGCTCCCTCAGCAGCCGTTGCCGCTCGGTTCCTTTCCACCTGCGTCGCTCCTCTTCCATTTGCGCTCCCTCCCTCGAGAGACTGCATTCATGCTGCATTGCCAAATGTGCTGGGCCGCTCACCCACCCAGTCATCATGCTGCCAAACAAATCATCGCACTTCACCCCTCATGCCTCTTATCGCTTGTCTTCCCTCCCCTGCTCCTCCCACTCCGCCCTTCGACCCCCTCAACCCCTCAGGCCTGCGGCGATGCATCTTCCTCCTCCTTCCCCTCCTCCTCTCCCTCCTCGTCCCTCCCCCCCGCGCCCCTGGCCTTCCTGTACGTGGCGGCGGTGCCGGAGCAGCTGAGCAAGGCCAGGGCGCACCTGGTGGAGGTGGCAGCGCTGGCGCGCCGCTTCAACCGCACGCTCATCGTGCCGCGCGTGGGGCACAGCCGCGTCGACTTCCGCCGCCACCTGCCCTTCTGCGCCTACTTTGACGGCGCCATGCTGCAGCGCTGTGGGGTGCACTGGGTCACCGAGGACTGGTTCATTGCGTTCGTGAGGAGGGGCAGGCTCGCTGTTCGCCCCACGTACATCTGCCTCGTGTGCGTGCACATTCCGTTTTCCACCCTCCAGCCGTTGTCTCTCCCCCTCCAACCTCGCTCCAGTCCCCTCCTTCCACTCATCATTGTTCCTTCTGCTCGAATGGCCTGTGCTGTCTGCTCTCCACTCTTCTGCTTCAATCCGCTTTTTCCCATCAAGCTGTGTTACGGAGAAGTATCGCCCCCATTGTGCACCACTTCGACGTCTTTGCATTCACCCACCTCCTCGCACATCCTCCTGCTGCTGCTGCTGCTGCTGCTGCCCGCCGCTGCTGCCGCCACCGATCCGCGTTCTCTAGCGCTGTGCGCCTATGGCAACCACACTGCATGACCACACTTCCCCCCCCCCCCCTTTCGCTTCCCGTTCGTGTTTGTTCTCCTTTCAAACCCTCACATCCCACAGTCCAGGCGTGAATGACACGTGCGCATCAGCCCTCAACACATCCTCTGCTGCCTTCCTCTCTGTGCTGGCCATTGCACAGCACCCCCCCTCGCCCGCCAACTCCCTGGCCCTGCGCTCCGCCTACCACACGCGGCGCGAGCGCTGGGGCGCGCAGATGGAGCGAGAGGAGGCAGGGCTGCTGGGGGCACTGGAGAGGGCGGGGAAGGGCGGGGTGGAGGGGGGAGGCGCGGAGGGGGAGGGAAGGGCCTTGGAGGAGGGACAGGGTGAGGGAACGGTGGCGGGTGCGCAGGGGAGCGGGAGTGGGGGTGGTGATAGTGGGGATGGTAAAAGTAGTGTGGGCAGCGGTGGTGCGGCAGCAGTAGACGTGGTGGTGGTGGGTCAGAGCTCGTGGTTCTTCACTCTGAGGGAAAGCAGCCGAGCCCAGGCTGCTGCGTGCCTTGACTTCTCGCCCGGGCTGCAGCGCGCCGCACAGAGATTCGCAGAGAGGATGAGAGCAGCAGGGGGGGCGGAGGATGGCGGCAGCCGAGAGGGGTTGCTGGATGTGGCAGGCAGCAGAGCCAGGGAGAGTGGCAGTGAGAGGGCAGCGAGGGGAGAGGGGGCAGCAGAAGGGTCAGGTGCAGCAGGTGTGGGCTCTGCATGGGCCGTGCATGGCGAGGGGTCCGAGGCCAGGCAAGGGAGGCTGGCGGAGAGTGTGGGTGAAGAGAGCGCCTGGCGAGAGGGTGGATTGGTGAGTGCAGGGGGGCGGTACGCGGCGGTGCATCTGCGGCTGGAGTTCATCACGTTCAAGGCCAGCAAGGGCTGGCGCCGGGGCACTGCGCCCATACAAGCTGTGCGCTCGTGGCTCATGGGGTGCGCTGGCAGCGCTGTGAGCGCCACGAGGCGGCACCTGGAAAGACTCAACTCCACTGCTGTCTTCCTCGCTGCTGACGTCACCCCCTCCTCCCCACCCACCTCATCCCCCTCATCTCCCTCCCAACCCCTACCGTCCCAACCCAATCCCCCCCTTGTGCGACTGCAAAGCGACTCGTGGCCACACGAGGGGGAGGCAGGGGCACAGCTGCTGGCGTATGTGTCAGAGGCATACTGGCATGTGAGAAGGGAGCTGGGCGCCGTGGTGTGGGAGGAGCAAGAGCCAGAGGTGAAGCGGCTGGACAGGGGGATGCGGGGCGTGCTGGATAAGCTCGCATGTGCGGAGGCAGATGTGTTTGTCATGGGCGACGATGCCTGTGGGGGCATGCAGAACTTTGACCTTGACGTGTGTGCTGCTAGGAAGGCGCTGAATAAGCCGGATAGTAGTACAGTACACTTCAGCCGTGGGCGGATATGATAAGTAGATAACGTTAAATGGCGTGTTATGGCACGCTTTGTTGAAGGTGTACAGTGATGCAGATCGAGATGGGTCACTGCTGCATCACTAAAAGAGAAAAAACAGATGCAGCATGTGCCGGGCTGGACATCTCGAGTTACTGCCGCAAAGCCAAAGAGTGTTGCGGCAGCATGGAAAAGCACATGCAGTGCGATGCGATGAGAGTGCTGTCTCCCTACAGCAGATGCCTCTGCCACTGCTTGAGCACGCACATCCTAAATTACCCATGCAACCACGCTGCACACTGAAGCCACCTTCCGCATACACCTCTTCCACCCATCCACCCCTCCATGCCTAGGCCACAGGCGAGGCCCTCTCCACTGCGGCGGCTATGGTATGTGCGAGCGCATCAGCGGCCACCTGTGTGGCAGCCTCTGCGTACACGCGCACCACATCCTCTGTCCCTGATGGCCGCACGAACGCCCGCCCGCCCTGCACACCCGCTGATGGAGGGGCGGGAGGGAGTGGGCAAGGGGAAGAGCGGAGGAAGGCTATTGTTGGGGGAATGAGAGCATAGATGAGAGAAGATGAGGGGGCTTAGGAGCGACCTGCCTGTGTGCTGGGCTGTGCGTGTGTGCATTTGAACTTTGAGTGGACTCCATAGATGGCCTGTGCAAGCACCCACAACATGTCGTATAAGCTGCGCGGCACACCGCACTGCACACCCTCCTCGTTGCTTGACAAGGATTCTTAACAGCTCTCAAACAACTTCACACCCTCTCCCCCCACACCACCTGCTGGGAGGTGATAGGGTGCTAGTCGCGTCAAAGGTGCGGTGTACATCGGCATGTGCCGCACACAGGTGGCGCACACAGGTGGCGCACACAGGTGCCGCACGACTGCAAGGTGGTGGAGGCAGGAGAGAGCAGCACGACGAGAGGCAGGGCTGTGGTGTGCGATGTGCATTGCTGCACGGCACAGTCCACCGTGACATCTACCACCATCTCATTGCAAGTGAGCCTGGTGCTGAAAGCGCGCGAGAGTGGCAGTGTGCAGCGATGCTGGCCAGTGTGCGTGCACCGTTCTGGAACGAATGCCACGCCACATGCTGGAGTGGAAGAATAGTATACGTGCATGCAATCCCTGCACTGAACATGCACAGTGCAAACGTTGCTGCACAGTCTCAATCATTGTGCATGGGGTGGCATGCCATGTCATGGCATCCTCACTATGATATGGGATGGCATGGCACACCATGGTACGACGTGTGGCATGCAGCGCACATACCAACGGCGTCATCAATGGTGGTCTGCAGCGCCGTGGGTTGCAGCAGCCTGGTGTCGTCCTCACACGGCACGAACATGCTGCGATCCGCCACGCGCACCTGGTGCACGCGCGCAGGGGGGGAGGGGAGAGGCGGCCACGGGTGGGTGGGATGGAGGTGAGCTTTGGGTGGACTCACAAGTCGCCTTGAGAACATGCTGCCATCCGCCACCCTCACCTCCGCCATGAGTGGGATAGGGGGGGGGGGAGCGGGAAGAAAGGCAGCAGGGAGCAAGAGAGTGGAGTGAGGAAGAGTGTTGCTTGACAGGGTGCAGTGCGGTTGAGAGTCAAGAGCACATGTGCCGAGTGGGCTAAGGCATGGGCATGACAGAAACTAGGTGCACGCGCATAAGGCCATGCGAGATAGCGAGAAGAGGCACAGGCACAGCCATCACAGCACCCGTCCTTCAGCAAAGCAACACAGCACCCCCCAGCACCCCATGCAGCACCTTGAGCTGTCTGGAGGGCAGGTCTTGGTACATGGCGCTCCACTCTCTCTCGGACCATCCCCGGCACCGCAGCACCGCCTCCACCGCCAGCACGTTGGCCAGCGCGTCGCCCACTGCCTGGTTGCACAGCCGGCTCAGCGCCGCCAGGCGGTGCAGGGCTGGGGGGAGAGATGGGAGAGGGGCGAGTGGGCGGGCAAGACGGGGGAAGCATTGGAGGGGTGCGAGTGGCAGAGGATGTGATGGAGCAAGGCTGCTGGCCCACAGGGGTAGCGGCGGGACATGCAGATACGGGGGAAGGGGGGGCGAGTGAGGGAATGGGAGGGTGGTAATGGGGGCAGGAGGGGAGGAGGGGAAGGGATATGAAGGGGAAGTGGATGCACGATGCAAGTAGGAGTCAGAAGTGAAGGGCACGAGAGGGTAGGAATGTTTTGTCAAAGGGTAGTGCAGGCAGCGGGAGAGGTGGGAGGGAGCGCGGGTGAGAGGGCGGGGCCATGCTCTGGCGGCATTCGCTCACATCCCACAAAGAAGGTAAGCTCTTTACAACACAAAGCTGAAGCACTCGCTTTGTAACCAACAACCCACTCCCCCACCCATCCCCATGCCTATCCCTTCCCTTCCCACATGGGCGCGTACACTACAACAGACACCCACACGCCCTCTCCTCTCCTTCGCCCACCCACTGCCTTGCCAGAGTTGGTGCGGCGCCCTTGCACCGCGTGCACGTGCAGGCAGCGCAGCAGGTGGTCCCCTGGGAGCCCTGGCGCCAACCAGCCCCACTGCTGCGCATCCCCATTGCACTGCCAACCGATCCAAATGCACTTGCTTAACTCTCCCAATCCCTCACCCACCCACCCACCCACCCTCTCCCTCACCGGAGTCCTCGGACAGCCCTTTCCCCGCCTGCTCCTCCAGCCACGCCAGCAGCTCCTGCCCAAACAGCACGGTGCCGTGCCCGTTCGCCTCAAAGTACACGCCCACGTCCCACCGCTCCGCCACCGCGTGCACGTGCTTCACACCCGTGCGCGCCACCGCAGGAGGGGCGCCCAGCTGCTCTGTCAGATAGGCAGTAGACGCGCCGTTGGCGTACGCTGTTTGCACCACGCCGAGGGATATGGGGCGGAAGGAGGGGAGGGCGAACCAGGCGCAGGGGGGAAGGGAGGAGGCGGAGGCGGGGGGGGGAGGGGCGGAGGGGGAGATGGTGCGGAGGGTGTGCACGAGGAAGGAGACGAAGAGAGCGGCAATCTTGTCGCCGTCCAGCAGGTGGAACACAGGTGCAGCAGGGGGGACGGAGGGCGAGGAGGAGGCGGGTTCTGAGGCAGTGGTTGAGGGCGGTGTGTGGAAGAAGTAGACGAGGCGATCGGCATCACCATCCAAGCTCACACACCTACAGGCAGCCACAAAGGGAAGTGCAGGAGGCAACGCGGGGGGGGGAACGTTGACCGGGGATGGGAGAAGAGAGAAGAGAGATGAAGGGAAGCCGGCTTGGGCCTTGCCAGCACTTGCAAGACGCAAGACGAGAGCCCAAGGAATCATGGACCCACGTGGCCTTGGGAAACGCTGCACACAGATGACGAAGCAGTGCTGCCAGCCAAATCCCTCTCCATCACCTCTGCACCATTCCACCTGCGCCTCCCATGCCCACCTGTGCACCACGCCCACCTGTGCACCACGCCCACCTGTGCACCACGCCCACCTGTGCGTCATGTCCTCCTCTCCCCCAAACCCCCTGGGCGCGCGCTGCTCCTTCTGCACAAAGTCCGCCCCCACGCCCTCGTTCAGCGCGCCCTCGCCCTCGCGCCCCGCGTTGCGCACCGCCGCTGCCAGCACCACGCCCCCCCTCCCCCGCACCTCGTCCACCAGGCGCTGCAGCTTCGGCGCCCCGACGCCGTTGGCCGCATCCACCAGCAGCGGGGGGCAGGGGAAGGGGGCGGGGGCAGGGGCGGGGGCGGAGGAAGAGGGGGAGGAGGAGAGGAGGGCGGTGAAGGCGGAGGCGAGGGTGGTGAAGTAGTCGGACTCGCAGGGCAGGGGGGACGTGGGCGGCTGTCGGTTGGCGGCCCACACCAGCCAGTGCAGCTGCGGGGTGGTGAGCAGCGCGCACGACACAGAGGCCACTCCTGGGACCAGCGCCACACCCTGAGGGGAGGGGGGAGGGAGGAGAGAGGGTCGAGAAGGGAGGAGCCAAGGGAGTGAGGGATGGAGGGAGTGATGAGCGAGAGTAAAGAAAAGGAAGGGATGAGGAGGAGGTTGAGAGGTTGAGGAAAGTGAGAGGGCGGTGAGGTGTGGAACGCGTGGTTGGGAGGCGGCATACGGGCAGGGGGAGAAGGGTGGGCAGCGAGGGGTGGCAGGAGAGGAGGGGTGGTGGTGCGAAGGGAGGGGAGCAGTGAGGAGCATCGCGCAGTGAGGCATGATGCGGGGCAGGGAGTGAGAGAGAAGGGCGGAGCTGGCATAGTGGGAATGGCAGGAATGGCAGGAATGGCAGGAATGGCAGGCAAAGCAGGAACGGCGCGGATTGGCACTGGTGTGCTCATCACCTGCAGTGCGGCGTCCAGCAGCCGGGGCCCGCTCTCTCTGGTGTCCCTCGCCAGTAACACCTGGCCACTCATGCCCTCCCCCACCTGCACCCGCTCCTCCTCCACTATTGCTTCCACTGCCTGCTCGCACGCACACACATACACTCACTCACGTGCACGCTCAAACGCACACACAAACATTCACACTCACGTACTCACACAGAAACACCCATCTTCACACTCGAACACACACAACACTTAACACATAGATGCATGCGCATAGCCACACTCTCTATCACACACAGAAACACACAAATCACATCATGCACGCATGCACACACACACACAAACACACACACACACACACACGCACACACACACACACGCACACACACACACACACACACGCACACACACACACACACGCACACACACACACACATGCACATGCACATGCACATGCGCATACCAACATGGAAGCACAGAACCACTGTGTGTGGAAGCGAAGAGAGATGCACAAGCTGACAATGTCTCCTTGCTAGCTGCTCCTCTTCTCGCTCTCCCCCACCCTCTCACTTCCACATCTTGCGGCCACGTCGCTCGCGAGCGGTAAGAAACAAACGTCCGTTCCCCACCCACCATCTTGGCTATCCCTCTTCATCCTAACCCTCGGATCCACTAGCTTCTGTCGCAGGTATATGGGGCTTTGCTCTGCCAGGCTACATGATACTCTCAGCTCTCACTATTGTCTCAGCGGCCCACTCACCTGCAGCAGGTCGTCCGCAGTAGCCGCATTCGCGAGTCGCGTGGCATGTGCCTCCCACGCGACGGCCAGCATGCCGCCGTTACTGTCGGCGATCTTCACGCCGTTGTCCTTCGCGGGGTTGTGCGACGCCGTCACCATCACGCCCGTCGCACGCCCGCCCTGCTGCAGCGATCGCAGCGCCGCCAGCAGAGCGCAGCGCTGCACGGTGGAGTCTAGCAGCGACGCCTCGAGGCGGAACCCCGCCGTGCCGTACGACAGCGGCACGCCCGCGGGCTTGGGCAGCCGGAGCGCCGCATCGCGCACGGCTTGGCGGAGCGCGTCCATGGGCGGGGCGGAGGGCAAGGCGGAGAGATCTACGGTGAGAAACCGAGGGCGTAGTTCACGCTTGCCTTGCAGCGTTGGGTCTAGAGTGCTGTTGGCAGCCCTGGGAGAGCTTCGCTGTTGTGGAGAAAATAAAATCCGTTAGAAGCTCGATAGTGGTAGCGAGTAGCAAATAATTGCAGTTCGGTTTGCGTACCTAATTAGCAAGTTTCGTGTTGTGGCAATTTCTAGGTAGTAATATTGTCATAACAAACGCTTAGCACTTTAGAACACCACAATAACCAAACCTGCTACACGGAGTGTCGGAGCAGGCAACGAGGAAGCGTAACCCCCACTGCAGCCGACAGACGGACGAAAGCCGCGGCACAGCATTTATCGCTGTTGATCGAAGCAGGGCAGACACAACTAGCTGTCTATCGCTGTTTATCGCCATGCTTCCTGTGCCATCGCGTCACGCCTCATCCTCCCCCATGGCCTGCAGATCGTTCTCATGTCACGACTAATCGCGTTCGCCGTGTCCTCTCCTCGTTCCATTCATGGCCCTGCAAGTTTCTAGAAGAAGGCTGCTAAGCGTTTCGCCAAGCCGCAGTTTAGCCTGGCGGTGGATCACTCCGCTTGCCGCCGCGGGTGTGCATCCGGGCTCCTTGGCTTCCGACAGCGACGCTTTAGCATCAGCCAACGGGTTTTCGCCACAGAGGACGATCCTTTCGACGGCATGCGGCCGTAGCGATTCCTTCGTCCATGAAAGCTTGACGCGTCGTTTTAACGACCGGGTTGGCACTGCCAGCCCCCCGATTAGGCCCTTATACACGGCGGGACAGGCCATGGCCATGATCGCGAGCAGCCCTGGACGAAAGGCTTACCTCATTGACACGCTAGCGCTGGTGGGTTGTTCTGTCTTACCTTCGTAGGGTATTTTCGGTGTTTCGATCGTAACGCTTTGAACAAGCAGCGCGAGTTGCGGGTTCTTCTTCGCCTTCCCCGGAAGAGCTAGTCTCAGATCCGTAGTGTTTCCCGCCGAAGCTTGATTCCTTAGTCGAGTGTCGTGGCGCGCCGGTGCAGGTGCGACGGCTGGAGGCGGAAGGGCTGACAGCACGGCAGGCAGAGGCGATCACGCACCTGATCACGGAGGTTCTGCACGACAGCCTCGACTCCGTCGCGCACACCTTCGTCTCCAAACCCGACATGCAAAAGGTCCGGCAAGCTTGCGTCTCTCCCGTGCAGATGCCGGTGCTTGAATTAGCCAGAGTTTCCGGTCTGGTGGTCTGAATGAACCTCGTTCTCGTGCCTGTGCAGTCGGAAATGGTCGCCGAAGCAGCTCTGATAAAGTTAAAGGCGGAGGTTCAGAGCACGATGGTGAGTGGTTTGATCCGTGCATGCTTGTTAACTTCGCTCTCCTGGTCGACTCGAGTGGCTAAGGCATGTTGTTTTGCAGGACTTGAGGTTTGCGGCGTTGCAAAGGGAGGTGGAGGGTCTCAAGATCGGCGTGGACAAAGTGAAGAGCGAAATTCGGTACGGCACGGTGAAGGTGAAGATGCAGTGCAGCGTCTAACTGTCTCCATAACGTCTTCTCATCGAGCTTATGAATCATGATTGGATGGTTGGTTGGTGCAGATATGAAGTGGACAAAGTAACTGCAGGACAGAGACTCGACCTTAATCTTGAAAAGGGGTGCGTCATCGTTGGTCTCCACACAGGGCTTAACCGGCTATTTTGTAAAAAGAAACTGAGCGGATTTACGTGCTGTGGTGTGCAGGCGGGTAAAGGAAGAGATGAACGTTCAACTACAGGAGATGAATAATCTGTCGAATAAGTTGGATAAGGTGAAGCTGGGCGTGTGTGTGTGTCTGTATATGTGTGAGGGGAAGAGAGCAAGAGGGAGGGACAGCAGAGGAGGGAGGGTGAGGCTACAATTATTGCTTGCATGGTTTTTGTTCCCTTTTCAATGGCGTCCTTTGATTTGGCAGTTGTGTGGGCTGTGCAGGAAATAAACAATCTCAAGACACAACTTGAAGCAGCAAAGTTTGAAATTATTCGGTATTGCATTGGTGAGTCCAGATGCCTGTTTCCACAATTTATGAATTTCTGTTTGTTGCAGTTGCTGCGCTTAGGGTTGTCACAGACCGATGGGAGCATTAACCAGGCATTGTGAGTTGAGTGGAATCAAGAATTCCTGTTTATGTTTTTGTTTGTTTTATTTGCAGGTACGTTGGTTTCCATCAGTGCTCTCGGCTTGGGTATTTTGCGGCTAGTTATGTGAACTATTGGATTGAGAAAGCGTGTGTCTTGTTTGTGCAATTGGCTTGCTAACGGTAGCATCATCATCATTCTGTAATGTGGTTCGGGCTCCGAGTGAATGTTCCTATATTCCGATAATATGTCAGGGAGGGTAAAATTGTGCAAAGCAGCAACCGAGCACTGGAATAGCTGGCAGGGATATCAAAATTGAAAATTGAATGATGGATAGAGTGAGAGTACACAAAGATATACCTAAGTGTTGTACTCTCTAAGAAGCGACCCTTTACAGTCTATACAAACATGACAAATACACATGTTTGACACACCCCCTAGACTGCATAGGGGAATGCCCTAAACAAACAGCTCAGGGCGGCACTACTAGTCCAACCTCTGAGACAAGGGTCTAAGAGACCAGTCAGAAGGAGTACAAACAAGGCAAGAACAAGGGCAGGGCGGCACTACTAGTCCAGCCACTGCGAGAGGACACAAGTCCAGTCTGAGTATACGTATAAAGGACAGTACAAAGTCAAGGTCCTAGCAAGTGAGAGGCTACAGGAACTAGACCAAGCTGTACACAGTGCCGCTGATGATCTTTAGGCGCAAGCGCCTTCGTAAAGATATCAGCCGTGTTGGCACCTGAGGTCAAGTGTACTACGCGAGCCTGACGTCGCTGCTGTAGCTCACGCAGGAGGAAGTACCGCAGCTGAATGTGCTTCGCTCTGCCCTCGAGTCGAGGCTCCTGACACAGGAGGATCATGGCCCTGTTGTCAGCGAACAGGACCGGGGCAGAGCTAGGCCGCTCACCTAAGTCAGTGAGCAAGAAGGTCAGCCAGCGGAGCTCCTGTGCCGCCATGGCACAAGCGTAGATCTCAGCCTCACAGCTGGACTGCGCTACAGACGAGGATCGGGTAGCTCTCCACGAGACGGCAGCTGAGCCAAGGCTGAAGCAGTAGCCCTGGGTAGACCTGAGCGTCTCAGCGTCGTCTGCCCACGAAGCGTCTGTGTGTCCAGTAAGGACCACTGGCCTGCGTCCTCCTAGCACTAACCCCATGCCCGATGTACTAGCAAGATAACGCAGAACCCTCTTAGCGGCAGACCAGTGCTGCGGTCGGTGTCTGCCTGTGGCCACAAAGCGCGCCAGGATGCTGAGAGGGTATGCGAGATCTGGGCGAGTGCAAGTCATCAGGTACATGAGGCAACCCACCAGCTCTGCGTAGGGGCCGCTGGGCTCTACCAACTCCTCAGACACTGGAGCGGAGAGTCTGTGGTCTACAAGCAGAGGGGTGGGCTGTGCAGAGGAGAACTGAAGGCTGAACCTCTGAAGGACCTGGCGCACCAAGTGTGACTGAGTCAGGGTGATGGTGCGCGCAGCTCTGTCCCTGGAGATCTGCAAGCCAAGGTAACGGCGCAGTTCTCCAAGGTCAGTGCACGTGTGTCTCTTCAGAAGCTCTGCCTTCACGGAGGCCAGTGCGTCCCTGTCTGCTGTGGCAAAGACCAGGTCGTCGACGTAAACAAGGATGTAGAACGGAGTCTGGCCAGCACGAACGAAGAGTGAAGGGTCTGCGGAAGACGGAAAGAACTGCAGGTCAGCAAGGGTAGCACGAAGAGTGTCGTGCCACTCACGAGGAGCCTGGCGCAGGCCGTAGACGGGGCGCCGCAGGAGCCACTGGGTACCAGGAGGGAAGGTGCCAGTAAAGCCCGGAGGGCGACGCAGGTAGACCTGCTCGTGTAGGCTGCCCTCAAGGAAGGCAGTGGAGAAGTCGAGGGAGTGAAGCTCGTAGTCACGCTGAGCCGCTAGGTGTAACAGAACCCGAAGAGTAGTCATCTTCGGGGTCGGAGCGAAGGTCTGGAAGAAGTCCACCCCCTCGCGCTGACTGAAGCCTCTAGCCACATAGCGCGCCTTGAAGACCGACGGCTCTCCAGGAGGGCGCTTCACCTTGAAGAGCCAGCGGCCATCGACTACGTTCACCCCAGGTGGGGGAACTGCGTCGACGAAGGTGCCGGTGGATCCCCAAGATGCCATCTCCTGCTCCATGGCAGCTATCCACTGTGAGGCCCAGGGTCCCGAGGTCGCCTCAGCGTAAGTGCGAGGGGTCGGGATGTCGAAAGCGTCTGGGTCACCCTTAGGGACTAGCAGCATGGAACAGAGATGGGGAGCAGCCTCGGAGAGGAAAGCAAGCTCGAAATGGCGGTCCTCCAGGACGTCACTGCCAAGGGCAGAAGCACCCCCGACAGACGGAGGACAGGCAGGGTCAGAGACCAGAGCGGTGGCGTAGTCAAGGCGGCGGGTAGAGGCGAAGTCAGCGACAGCAGCGACAAGAGTGTCAAGCCACGGGACCGGAACAGACGGGTCGGTAACGAGAGAGGCAAGGACCCGAGGAACAAGAGGACGAGCGGCACGAAGGTAGTCAGACAGCGGGGGGGGTGCAACAACAAGGGAGGACGGAGGAGGCGACGGCAGAAGGGGAGGGCGAGACGCGTGGGAACGAAGCAACATAGGGTGGGAGCGCAAGATAGGCGAGGCAGGACGAGCACGGGAGGGGCGGTGCGACCAGACGTGCGACGGAGGAGTCGGGTCAGGAGACAGGGGAGGGGACACAGGAGGGGAACGAGGGGGGAGACGAGCCGGGGACGAGTCTGGCGGAGGAAAAACAGGGCCGTAGACAGGAAGAGGAGGAGACGGTGGGGGAGGAACCGACGCAGGGTCGGGGGACGGAAGGCCGAGCAGGCGAAGGGCGGACACCGGCGAGGACTGCTGCTGCGGCGGCACAACGGCGACACCTGGACCGCAAGCTGCTCCTTGGCTACCACCAGCACTCTCCACACCCGCACCCCCAGAGGGACCACCCCCAGGGCGACCGGGACGAGCACCCCCAGAGTCAGCGAACGGGTGCTGAGACGGCGGCGGCGGCGGCGGCGGCGGCAGCGACAACGACGGCTGCAGCGGCGGCAGAGGCGGTGGAGGAGGGGACTGGGAAGGGGACGCCAGGGGAGGGGCGGCCGGCGAGGACTGCACAGGAGGGCCACCAGAGTCAGAAGACTCCCCAGCCGGGTCCACCGACGGAAGGGGGGTGACGTGGGACACACCAGAGGGGGCGGGACGGGGAGGAGGAGGAGGAGGGGTAGGGACTACCGGGGAAGGAGTGACCAGGAACAGGGGGGGGGTAACCGGGGGACCACGGTGGGGGAAGCGACGGTAGTAGGAGACGGACTCGTCAAAGGTGACGTCACGAGAGTGAAAGAAGCGGTGCGACGGCGGATGGTAAAAGTGCCTGTCGGACGCGTCAAGGGGAAAACCGAGGAAGACGCAGGGAAGGGTGCGGGCAGTGAGCTTGTCCGTGCCGGAGGCACGGACGTGAGCAAGGCAGCCCCAGACGTGGAACGCAGACGCGTCACCAGGAGACCCAGTCCAAGGACGGGTCGGCGAAACCTGCGACTGCTGAGGGTGCGGCCACAAGTTAAGCTGGTGAGAAGCGTAGCGCACAGCGAACGGCCACAGAAAATGGGGTGCACCGGCATGGATCATGGAGGTGCGAGCCACCTCCATGACCAAACCGATGCGTCGCTCAGCGACCCCATTCTGCTGTGGGGAGTCCGGTAGGGTGAACGTCTGGGTGATGCCCTCCGCACGACAGAAGCGACCAAGGACACCTGAGGCAAACTCGCCACCACGGTCTGAGTGAAGACGCAGGACAGGGAGACCGCGGTGGACACGCGCAGAGACAAGCCAGGGGATGAGAGCGCCAGGCACGTCGGCCTTGCGCTCCAGGAGAAAGACTGTGGTGTAACGAGTGAAGTCGTCGATGAGCACAAGGAAGTAGCGCTCTCGACGCGGCCCAGGGACAGGGGCGGGGCCCCAGACGTCCAGGTGCAGGGTCTGTAGCGGCGCGGAGGTAGGGGGAAACGAGGAGGAGTGAGGGGCACGGCGAAGCCGACCCTCGACACAAGGCGTGCAAGGTGGGGCTGGGGAGGAGGGAAACGCGGGGAGAGAACCTGGGAGACCAAGGACAAGACCGTGCTGGGACATGTGACGCAGACGCGGGAGCGCAGGGTGACCTAGGCGGTGGTGCCAGAGGAGCGTCGGGTGAGTGAGGGACCGACAGGAGCAGGCAGCAGCAACCTGAGTAGACGCAGCCACCTGAGGGAGCGCCCCAGCCGGGGGGGTCATGGTGTCCAGAGTGAACAGGCCAGACACCGGGTCCCGGGGGAACGTGGACAGGGGGGCACCAGTGGCGGCCTCGGTACAGACAGCATACCGCTCGTGACAAGGGAACGTAGTGGTGACGCCAAGGTCCTGGAGGCAGCCGACACCAACTAGGTTCCTGGAGAACGAGGGGATATGCAGACCTGTAAGAGAGCCCGAAGGAACAGCCGGGCAGGGAAGGGTGGTGGAACTGCGGGCGACTACCGGACCGCCGGAGGGGTCAGCAAGAGAAACGGCAGCAGGAACAGGAAGCGGCGTCAGGGTGGTGGAGTCGCGGAAGAAACACCAAGAAGCGCCAGAGTCCAAGGTGAAGGAAAGCGAAGCAGAGGCGGCTGGCGACGGAACGACGGCGGAAGCACCAAGGCTACACAAAGCAGAGGATCCTACGCCTGACGCAGCAGGGGAGGCTAATCTAGGCACACCTACACTAGGCAACAGTGAGTAATAAGGTGGAAGTACACTAGAGTCATCAGCATACATCACATGCAGAGCAGAAACAATGGCATCCATGTCCATATCAAAGATCTGAATCTTACGATTAAGCAAACTGTGCCAGTCCGGGAGGTCTGGCGACGGGCCGAAGCGCTGACGAAAGAGGTCGTCCAGGCGACGAAAACAGCGCTGACGAAAGAGGTCGTCCAGGTGACCGATCTTACCGCAAACGAAGCCGCGGCGAGGACCGGTCTGGATCTAGTACTGACAGCGCCCGCCGCCAGAGCTACCACTCGACACACCACCACGCGCCCGGCCACCGCCAGCGCCAGGCCACCCGGGCGGGAGGACACTCGGCTGCCGCGTCTGCGACGGCTGCTGCGGCTGCGGCGAAGGCTGCGACTGCGGCGGCTGCTGCGGCTGCTGCAACTGCAGGGGCGGCTGCTCAGCCGGACTGGGCAGGGTCCCCTTGTCTGCTCCAGCACCAGACGACTCGACCCCACCACTACCCCC